TTGGGACAGGATTGCAAGATGGAGGACTCGTCAATGTTCGTACACCACCTGTTGGCCGCCGAATCCTGACGCCTCGACCGGCAAACATAAAGCTCAGCGCCCAAACGCGGGCCCCGTACTGGGCGCCAGAAGCGGGGCATGCTCCATCATAGTTCGGCGAAGGGAGGCTTGAGAGGGGGTTTGAGAAGCCCCCCCCCGGCGGGAGGGGGGGCTCCAGGTTGAAGTGTTGAGTGAAAAATTCAATGGACGATTTCAAGCTTGTCAGGAATGCGCTCAATGTATACAAGCAACAACAATGCAATCAAGCATGCAATCACTCGGTCTGGACTTTTCCAGATTGGGCATCAATGTCAATGAGTCTTGAGCCCACAGCTTGAGCCACCAATATGTTGGTGCATGTCAATTGGGCTTGCCAATGACCTAGGGAATGACCATGTCATCTAACATGGCCCCTTGATTGCGACAATTTTGTCAGCAATCACAACTCTCTAAATAATCATGAAAAAATCACGACAGTAGTGGCCATAATGTGAATCACGATCAATCAAACAATTTAACTGTCAATCACAGATCCAGCAAGTATAAAGGGGCAACCTTTGTTTTGCAAAATGTGGCTGCAATTCATCTGCGACTGTACCTCCGAACAATCTGACCATCATCCAGGGAAATCCGTCGGTACGTCAGAGAAATCAGATTTGCAGAATGAATAAAATGAATAAAATGCAGCAATGTCGTGTTCTGTTCCGGTGTTCAATCCGAACAGCCTGTTGCCAATCCACGACATGGAGAAAATAACTTGGCAAGTTGAGCCAATGCCTGAGCCGCTGATGCTCAATCCAGATTCTTGCGCTTTCGAGCAATTGCAGAGGCGGCTCGAATCAGAATCTTGTACTCATCTTCGCTCAATCTCGCAATTCTCAATTCCAGTCCAAAGGCTTCGCTTTCATTGCCTTGGCGGAGATCTCAAAGCAATCATTGTCAAGCAATGCCAACGGAGGAATGCCTGGCATTTGCTTTGATGTGAGAGGAAAAACACAATGCATGTGCAATCCTTCACTCGGCGAATGGTAAACGTAGGAAGCAGCATGGACAATGTTCACAATCTTCTTCACGCTAATGCCTTTGGCGACGAACACAATGCTAGTCCTGCGGCTCCATTCCGGTAATCCATAGTTCAATGAAGGATCTGAGTCGATGGAAAAGCACCATGAAAAGCCAATGTAGCTGCAATTATGATAGCGCTGAAATCCACCACGGCCGCTCGGATGTTTGAGGTCGGTGCTGGTCATAGCAATGATAGGACGGAAGCAAATGAAGGCAGCCTCTTCCTCAATTTGTTCCGGTGTCAGACAATTCTGCCTATACCAATGGGCAAGCTTGCGAATAGCAGATTTTATGCTGTACATCGCATTGAGCTGACCAAGTGGAAAAGGAATTCGAGCTCCCAGGCCGCTACTCAATCCTTCTGCCAATGAGAGGGGCAAGGCAATGTAGAGGTATGACGAAGTCAATGTCTCGTGCCTGATGTGATCAAATGGCCCGAAGGTTTTCAATATGACTCTTCGACGAAACAATGCTCTCAATGCTGCACAGCTTTCCGATGCTTTGTCGAACAATAGCCAAGAAAGATCAATGTGGCACGGGAATGCAGACAATGGATCTTGTCCATCGCGAACTGCGGCGCGAATCGCCGATCTTGCGAATTTAATCAAACACAATATCGCATGCTCTGCTGGGCCACAATGTGGGTGGGCAAATTCGGGAGTCATAATGCGGACGTACCGGTTGGTAATGAGCCACCCACATGCCGTGTTAATCTCAGGGAGGTCATGTGTCACACGAGCAATTTGTCGACACAATTCCGTGAAGGCGTTCATGGCAATCTCAGACGCCGCTGCAATGGTGTCAATATTCAGTGACTCGAGGTAATCCTTCGATGATGCCACATGGCCATCAATGGTATTAAATAGGTCGCCGAATGCACTCTTCCATGGTGCCAGTTCCAAATGACTCTCTACTCCATGAATGCTCTGCCAGAACCAGCTCACAATGACAGTGACTTTCAGCAATACTGTCGATTCATTCATTCGCAAATGATGGTTGACTGCGTAAGAATGCGAATGAATCTCCTGCAAAACGCGGTCGAACAATGTCAAGGCTTCAAGGCATCCAATGCGCCTTCCCATTGTTCAGCCACAATTGCCTGTGGCTCCACCACATCGACAGCCGACTCTGTGGATCTGAATGCCATGGCGAGCTATGGCAGTGTTCGCGAATGCGGCAATGAGCGTGTTAGTCGAAATGCTAAGAGCAATTGCATTCCGAAAGTAATCTCACCACAGTGCAAACTCAATACCCGCACTCCAGACTATGTACAATCACCGTCCAAGAGGACAAGGCAAAAGTTTCAAAAGAACATCTCACTCACCAACAATGCTAAACCACTGATTTGGTTAAGCTCGAAACAATGGATGTTCGGCTCCAATTGTTGGAAAAGAGTAGCAATGAACGTGAGGGCACCAAGTATCAATGGGCCCACAGTGATGCATCTGCTTGTGGCAATGAAAACACGGTTCGTCAGTGACCAATCCTGTTCGATGGGTCGACAATCTCTTCACCTTCAAACACAGCGATAATAAAGAAACATGCACATGGGCTTGCAGAGCTCACTCAATTCTCTCAATTCTCTTTATTTTGCTTGAGAGGTCACGAACCACAACACTTAATGTCGGTCGACAGTGGTTTTGTGATTTTCGAATGTGATGATCAACCTGGCCAAGCTCAACTCAATGTTCGAATGACAATCGAGGATCTCAAGCTCAAGTCTCAACAATGGAATCAGTGTGAGAAATGAGAAGGAAGGAATCAGGCAAGGAAACCATACCTGGCAGAACCAGTTTTTCGACGAGCAATGAGTCTTAGTGTCCAGTTTCCAACATCTTGATCTTGAAGCGAGTCAACGTAATGTCGTGTGTGGCCAAGAAACATAAACCTTGTGAACAATGGCAAATGATCGCCCAGTCGCTGGTATCCAGCAAAATCACAAGACCTAACATGACATCGAAATGCCTTCCAAGCAAGTAGTGAGGCTCCGGCCAATTGTCACGCAATAAAGAGCTGACAGAAGCAGACCAAAAAGTTCAAGACACTGGATGAGAGACAACATGTGTCGTGAATGCTGCTTTTCAACTCTGAGAAAGCAAGCCATGTCGACAAGACAGAGACAATCAAATCCTGTAACAATCAAGCACCTATCATGTCTCGAAGGAGCCAAGCGAATGACTGTTTTCCAACTCTTTCAAAAGACGTCTCAATCTCCAAAGTGCAAGCGCAATGAGAGCCAGCAGAGGCTTGTGGAAATGGTTTCCATGCTTCGCTTCTCTCGCAAGTGTCTCGCACCCAAACATATAAGAACACTGAAAGGATTAGAACAAAGACAAAACACTGCCAAAACTTCAAACCGCAAGAATGAAACATGAAAAATGCTTAGTACAAGCACCAGGAGCAGGCCCTCAAGTAACAATAAGGGCGCATTGCGTCCAGAGAAATTTAAAAAAATCCGGTGTTGAAAACGATGCTGCAGGACAGTTAGCAGCAAAATTTCAAGACATTGCGAGAGCAGGCAATGGTTTCCTTTTCTTGGATCTGTAGGCAAGACCACTGGCCTTCTATCTGCGAAAAAGACCGAACGACAGTCCGGAGTTCAACTAAACCCTTGGCAAAGCACTGCTGCTCAAAACGCTCGGACAGAGCCTTCGTTTTACTCACGCGACACACAAGTCCGGTCTTGAGCCAAAATGGCTACGACTCTCTGCAGCTGCTAGGAGTGAAAACGACTAGCAGGTGGCTTGGGTTTCTAAACACTTCCCTGAGGCCAGAAGTCTCCTCAGGTAGTACCGAACTCCAAGAAACGTCCCTACGGGCTTGGA